TTGGCTCTATATAAGTTTTATCACGTTTTTTGGGCCTTTGTTCGTCATCTTCATACTTTGGGATTGCAGTTTTATCATTGCATGGATGACTGGCTACTTCTAGCTCATTCTGAGCAGGAGTTGACCAATCACACTCACCAACTCCTTTCTGTGGCAGCTCAAATGGGCTGGTTGATAAATTTTGGGAAGTCAGTTCTTTGACCCACCCAATACTTAGTGCATTTGGGGGTCTTCCTTGACACCAACATCAGTTGAGCTCTTCCTTCTCCTTTATGCCTCAGTTCTATGGAACTTTTATTTCAGTATGCCCTCTCAGATGGATAAACTTACTGCTTGAGAGGTTCTATCACTTTTGGGGATGTGGTCTTCCATGACTGCATTGGTCCCCCTCGGTCATGCCCATATGAGATCCAGGCAGTGGACACTTTCCAAATCAATGAACCTTCCACTGGATCTTCTTTCCCCCACCATTTCCTTTCTTCCTTCTCTGAGAGCCATTCTGCTGTGGTGGCTTGACAAAGCCCATACATCAGCTGGTATGCCACTTCCTTCTCCACATCTGGATGTCCATCTGTGCATGGAAGCTTCCCTTCAGGGATGGGGGACTTTGGTCAATCTCCATGATGCTACGGGCCATTGGTCTGCAGACAAACTCGTCTTACAAATCATCTTGTTCTCGAACTTCTGGCACTTCTCACTTTCTTTTGACTGTCAATGTCTGGTGATGGATCCATCCAACAACTTTATGAAAGTAGCTCATATCAACAATCAAGGGAGCACCTGGTCCAGAGATATTTATTTCCTGACCTTGGATCTTCTTTTCTAGGCCCAGGCACATCATATTAGTCTTCTCATATGTCATGTGCCATGTGCTTTCAATCTGGTATCGGATCATCTTTCACATGCAAACCAAATGTATCCCACAGAGTGGTCATTAGATTTGATTGTTTTCAGAGACCTTTGTCCCCTGTGGGTTCTCCTCAATTGGATGCATATACCATGGGCCTCAATATAAAGTTGTCCATCTTTTGGTCGCCTGTAATACATCCACAGGCTCTGGCTATCAATGCCTTCAGCCAGGATTGGTCTCACAAATATCTTTATGTGTACCTTCCCATCCATTTACTTCATCAGGTGATTTCTCTGGTACACTCCACTCCTTGTTGGGTACTCTTGATTGCACCACATTGGTCAGCACAACCCTGGTTTCTGAGGCTCAAATGTGTACTACTCTCACCAACTGTTCCTCTTCCACTGTTTTCCTCCTTTCTGCATCAACCTCGATCCCCTGCTGTTCATTTTAATTTCCCCATCCTGCATCTTCACACCTGGCTTTTGTCTGGTCCTTGGCGAGGAGATCTGGTTTCATGTATTGAGTTGTCTCCCTGTTAATTATTTCCTTTCGTCCATCTTCCATGGAAGTTTACCAGCATAAGAGGAAGGTTTTCCATTGTTGGTCTGCTGGCAGGAGATTTGCTGCTGCCAGCCTTCAGTGACTCAGGTGGGAGAACTTCTCACCTGGCTCTTCGACTGTGGTTTTTCGGTCTCTTCAATTTCTGGATATATGGCAGGCCTTTTCCATACCTTTTCTCCAGATACTGTAGGGTTTTCACTTCCCCTGTTCTCACTATGCTCATGCATTTCTTCCGGATTCAGATGCCTCCCTGGTGTCCTCCCTTTCCTGATTGGGACATTAATGTGGTCCTTCATGCACTGATTCTCCCTCTATTTGAACAACTTTCCTTGTTTCATTTATCTTTTAAGACCTATTTTCTTCTCCTTTTGGCTTGTGGACATTGCCAATCTGATTTATTTGCTGTTGACATTTCATGTACCCTTTATCCTCCTTCTTATCTTCTACTATATCCTGATTGTTCCTTTCTCTCCAAGACCATGGCAGCTTGAGAAGGTTGTTCCTCTTTATTTCTTATTTCCCTACCTTCTATCTTCCATCTTTACCCTCATCTGGACCCCAGTAGACTTCTGTGTCCCATCAGGGCCCTACAGTGTTATATTGCATGTACAGCTACCCTCCAAGGTATGTGCAACCATCTTTTCATTCCCTGGCAATCCTCCTCCTTTCATGATCTTTTCCCTTCTACCCTTACATTTGGGTCTGCCTTCTGGTCTGTTTGGCCTACTCATCTTTACCTTGTTTCTCCCGTACTTTGTTCCATGTTTTCTCCCATCAAATTCATCATCTCACATTTTCCCTCACTTCCTGTCTTCATCGTCCATTGGAGGAGATTCTCCAAGCTGGCATGTGGATCATGCCCAGTAAATTTGCCTCCCATTATGGTCATCACATTGTGCTTTACTCCTCGTTGGGGTTTTATCTTCCACCTGTGACTGTGCTCCAGTCTTCTGTTGGACGTAAACAGGTACGTTTTTTTCCTTTTCCTCTTTTTCAGGGTCTTTTCGTCATTCACTCTTTTTAACACAGATCCTGCTCTTTGGCAAGTGGTGCCTGACCAGGTATTCTGTAACTTAAAATCCACACTGTAAGCCATGTTGACTCATGCTCTTTCGTCCATGGCTCTGCACTGTCACTGTAGAGATGGGGTGTTCCACAAGAGTGGTGGAAGGTTATCTACCTCCCAATAATTGCTTCATAAATATGTTCATTCTGGACTATACCACCCATGGATGGCATGAGTAAAGCTGCCCATCCCTGCCATGCCTTGAGTGAATAACTTAATATGGTCTACTTTTTAGAATAGAGTATTGTAGTCACCCATTGCACTCTCTCCGGTGGTGACTTTCCTCCTGATTCTCCAATGCAATCTCACCCCCCCCCTTCTTGGAGTGGGGTATGGGAGTCAAGTCCTTGCCACTTTCTAGTTCCCAATTGCTTGAATAGTTGACCATGGAGGCATGAATGGGTTCCACTCACAAGCTGGCTATAACCATTCAGTCGAGAGTAGGGTGATTGTGTTCTGCTAGTGTAGAAGTGATGAGGCCTCCACAGGAGTTGATTTGTCCTCTTGCTGGTGGACGTGGCCTTCTGATACTACTTATACTATCACAGGAGATGATCCATCACCTTCCTGGATGATGTAGCCTCCTTATACTATTTACACTACTGTGGAGTTGATCCATCACAGAACTGGTTGACTTGGCCTGCTACTATTAATTTACACATACAGTTCAGTTGATCCATCACCTTAATGGTTGACGTGACCTCCTGTTACACATTCCATACGACATGGAGTCGATCTGTCACACATACAGTTCACCTCTTTTGATTGGGAGCCCTCATCCTACCTTTGCATAGTCGTTCCCAGCCTTGAGGAGTTAGAATCAAGTGAACCAATCACATAAGTCTTCGCACAAGTTGAATCCATCCTCTTGATGCTGGCTGGCCAGTCTCAGATTGCTGTAAGGTGTTGATCCTTATGTGGTACCCAGGAATTGGAGTGGATCTTAATTCCCAATTCTTGGTTTATAGGTGAAGATGGTATGGTCGTCATTCTACCCTCATATGGATGTTGATACCCTGTAGAGAAGGTTTTGGATGAATAATTGACTTGCCAATTATGGTCTGATGCACCCTAGCCACTGTACACCTCACAATTTCTGCCTGTGTGTTTTACCAATTACACATAAATGCAAAGAGTATACCTGGCTCAGAAGTGGTGTGATTCCCCTTTACATACCTTCTCTCACACTTCCCATCCTTCCTCCCCACTACTCCAGTGCTCACACCTTTTGCCAAACTTTGAAATGAGAGTTGGTAAAGGAATATAGAGCTAGTAACATGAGCATACTATGCTACTATTGGTTAACAGATAACGCATGATGATTTGCATGAGAGACATGTTGAAATGTACTAATTCGAACAAGGGAGGAGTGCAAGGCTTGTGGCATGTGTAAAGAAAATGTTTGCATATAGAGGGCAGCACTGAAAAAGAATAGCTAACCTTGTGAGAGGTGATAAGTACCTATTGGAAATATGATTTCAGTATCTGAAATTTATAATTTAAAAAAAAAAATATATTCTCAATTGCATAAGTATTCAACCCCTTTGCTAAGGCAACCCTAAATCAGTTCAAGTGCAAAAGATTAGTTTGGAATAAAATTAGTGTAATAGTCTCCGTCTGTGTGTAATCAAAGTGGTTTAACTTACTTCAGAGTAAATACATCTGTTCAAGCCACAACTCGTATAATGATATGACAAACCACCAATGAAGACCATGGAGTTCCAAACAAGTTGGGGATAAAGTAGTAGGGAAGCATAGGTCAGGAGAAGGATATAAGAAAATTTCAAATCACTGATTATCCCTTTGAGTTCGGTGAAGTCCATCATTAAGAAGTGGAATGGGCTTCATACAATCCAATCAATACCCAAATCAGGCCACCCTTCCAAACTAAGCAGCAGGGCAAGCATGAAACTGGTTAGGGATGCCATTGTGAATCCAACAGTGACTTTGAAAGATTTGCAAAGTGTCATGTCTGATATGGGAGTCAGTGTTCATACATTGACAATATCACAGTCCCTACACAAAGCTGTCCTGTATGAGTGAGTGGCAAGAAAGAAGCTATTACTGAAAAAGAATCATCTTAAATCTCATATTGGAGATTGTGACAAAGCATGTAAATGATACTGCAGACATATATATATATATATATATATATATGGCTGAAGATTTTGTGGTCAGACAAGATAAAAATGGAGTTTTTGGTCTAAATTCAAAGTGTTATGTCTGGTGCAAACCCAACATAGCACACCACCCAGTCAACACCATCTCAACTGTCTAGCATTGTGGTGGCAGTATCATGTAATGGGGATGCTTCTTATCAGCAGGGACTGGAAAGCTTGTCAGGATTGAGGAGAAAATGGATAGTGCAAAGTACAGGCAAATCCTAGAGAAAAACCTGCTTGAGTCAGCTAAGAATCTAAAACTGGGTCAAAAATTCACATTTAAATAGGACAATCACCTGAAGCCCAAAGTCAAAGCCATACTGGAGTGGTTTCTAAAGAAGAAAGTGAATGTTCTGGAATGGCCCAGTCAAGTCCTGACTTGAATCCAATGGAAAATTTATGTTTAGACTTGAATATTGCTGTCCATCAACAATCCCCAATGGAGTTGTCAGAATGAGCAATTTTGCCAGGAAGAATGGGCAAAAATACATCATCCCATTGTGCAAAGCTGATAGAGACCTATCAAAAAAGACTCACAGCAGTAATTGCTGTCAAAGGTGCTTCCACCAAGTAGTGACTCAGGAGATTGATTACTTATGCAATCAACAAATTTCAACTTATATACAGTACACCACCAATTTTCTGGCAACTGATGGTCTGGCACCTCATTTAATCCAGACAAAATTACTAGAGGGCACTTGAAATTTGTGCGACCACCAAACTAGTTCAATGAGCAGCCACAGATGGCATTTTGTGTAGTGCACACTCTTTTGGGATGGGCTGCTTATATTTTAAGTAGGTACATCATTCTTGTGAAAATTTTCTTATAAGTATTAAACTAGTGGATCAAATTGTTTTAATTTTTTCATGAATGTTGCCAAGAATATGTAGTTTAACAAGATACAACTATTTAGTTTCGATTTTTTCTTAAATTTTTTACAACACAGAATGTTGATAATATTGTATGAAAATTGAAAAATATTTCTGAAAAAATATTTAAAGAAAGTTATTTAATTGAATATTTTATTTATGTCAACAGAGAGAATATAGAGATGGTGTCATGTGCCTCCATCCCGAAAGAGTTAATTGTTTACAGCTACAGTTGGTGGTGGTGATCCCTCGGTTTTGTGCGATTATTAGCTATTTTGCTTACATTTAACCCTATCTACGGCTTCTAAGTAAGGTCCAAAGTGACAGTTGTGGTGTCAAGTGTAAGCACAAGTCCATATCGATACAAGACAAAGTAGAACTGTTGAAACAACTCGACCATGGTGTTTCCGTGTGGAAACTGTGTGATACATATGGTATTGGTTCATCAACTATTTACAATATAAAGAAGCAAAGTATAATTAGTGGGTCAGAGGTGTATTGTTTAATTATTATTACTTGACCTCTGTTGGTCCGGCAAGGTTCTGGAATCAAGGGTGCCGGAAAATCGCTGGTGTATTTTCTTTGCAGGTTTTGCTGATATTCAACCTCCTTCACACATAACAGTGTTAAGTTT